GTTTCCTGCTAATCGGAAGAATAAATCTCGCAATATCTTGCAAGCGTGTACGACAGAGATTCCTCGATTGTCAAATTTGTTCGTCAGTGAAGATGCTAAATTAACGTAACCTTGTGAAAAGAAATATCCTCTGTCGATTTTCCCGTTTTTCTCGCAGTCTCGATTGGATAGAACGTGTCAATTTAACGGATGGTATGTAGGGTGTTATAAATGTTAGGCCTCTATTTCGCCATTGGCTGAGTAGCAGGCACGTATGGCCAGGTAATGAACGACCGCACGAGCGAGAAGATGAGCGGGAGAGATAGGAGGACGTATAATAGCCAGTGGAGCGGGATAGAGTGAAGCTAGAATCGATGGGATATTCAAGTAATGACAACGATAACGATGGTGACGATAATCAACGAGCAACACCCACGTCGAACGCAGTTCCCTCTGCAACGACGATGACGAACGACAGCGAGCGGGAAGCCATTAAATTGGTACCACCTGCTAATTGGTATCTCTAATTTCTATCGGTTGTGTATACCACGGCTAAGCCACGATAAAATGATCGCCATGAGTCAGAAGAGTGATTGACGTTTCCAGCCTTGTGGATAATTTGTCGTCGCCCGAAATCCTCTGACTTTCCTATATCACGTCGGAGGATTTAGGGGGGATTCTGTGACGGGCGTTTGATCAGATCGAAACTTTCATTTCGTGCTCTACTTTGCAAGTAGTCTGGCAAGCACTGGTATTAATTTACGATGCCGCTAAGCTCGAAGGGGCTCCCGAGGTTAGGTTAACTTCGGTCCGGTATCTTCCTCGTTAGGGACGCGATCTTTAAAACTATTCCCGAGGAAGCTAGCCAAAAAGATAATCGAAAATCTGGAAGACCGTGACAGCTACTTGGAGAAGCTTCTCGTTCGAAAACAGTGGCAACTTTTTCAAGGATGAAATAACGAAACTGCTCGGAAAGTGACAGAAAGTTGTCGAACAAAGTGAAACTTGGCTTTGGTAGACTTCTCTGATCAACAGTTCTTCTTTCCTTCTTTCTAACAGCGAACACTTTTCTTCATCGAACAGCTTCCAACGGTACGGACGATGTACCGATATTACGTGTCGTTAAACATCCATTTCCGAAGTGATTCCTAATAACAAAGGGACCAAATAACTCCAGCGGGAACAAGATTGCATTCCTCGTCAACATCGTACACGAACCCCTTAGCACTTCCATCCAGCACGTCAGTCAATGTTTGCCGCGCGTCTGCCTCGCGGAGCCCTCGAAAGAAAATTCAGGCAAACCGATCTGTCTCCCCTAAATTCATCGACACGCCCGGCTGCGCCGTTGGATCCCGCGAAAGCCGGCGTCGAGAACGAAATAAGAAGAGCCTCGAACGTAGTAGCGGCTAGATAAGCGGAAACCTACATCGAGTCGTCTGTAAATCGAGTTTACCAACGTCTCCCATCGTTTCCAGCCTCCGCGTCCTTGAACACCCCCTTGTGTCGAGTCGCGTACAACCGTGTGTAAAACCTTTTATCCGGAGAAATTACCGTGAAAGGCTGGGAAAATCGTCGTTCCTCTTCGCCTCCATTTTCTTACCTCTGGCGCGTCCACGAAGACGTTTGAAACGCGAAAACGCGACTGGGTTGCGTGTCGAGGCCGCAACAGTCGTGTCCCGTCTGCGTCGTTTAGAAAATGCCGGCACGTACCGCGCGAAGGAAGGAGGATTGGCGTTAAAGGGAGGCGTAAGAGGGAAATATTCCGCGTTTCGAGGAAATTTCTCGTGTCCCGAGGAAAATTCGTTCTTCGGGTTTCTCCCGTTTTTTTTTGCTTTTTTTTTTACCATCTTCTTGGTGAAATTACCGGGTTACCCATGTAATTTCGATACGATTTCGAGGTTCCTCTGTGTTTCTCCGGCTCTCCTTTGAGTTGTTCTCGAAGGAAGCCAGGTGGTGGGAAGGGATTAATAGGAAACGGGGATGCACAGCGGTGATACAAAAAGGTAGCTCCTCTTTTAGCTCGCTTTTAGGTTGATCTAAGCAGAAAATGGTAAATCTTGCTGGCTCGAAGAAAGAGATCCGTTGAAAGTTCCCTCACGCTGGTTACCACCCGGTAAATTGAGCTTGGAGATGTTTCACGTACCTCGCGGTATCGCAGCCATCTATCCTCTCTACTGGAACTCTCTATCGTTCCTTTAACCCCTTTTCTTCGGTCGTAGACTGGGTGTCTCTTTTGTCCTTTCGTAATTTCTCGTTAGTCCAATCTGAATAGAGAAACGTAGTTCTTTCTAGCTTGCTTTGATAATTAATATTTGCAAATTCTTGAAAAGTTAGAATTAAAATCCCGCTTCAAAGGCTTCAAAGGTGTAACAACATAGTTTCGAGAATCGGATGAAAATCTCACAGATTTGGAATCAGATGTGATGAAACCGTAAGTCCAGTTGCAAAACAGAGGAAACTCAGTGAGCAGCATCACGTTCCTCCATAGAGCTCGAACAATATCCGTGTTTACCACGCAGCCAGAGAGCTTTTGTATCCGGCCGGTTCCTTCCAGCGGAAAAATATTTCCGTAATTAAAACGCTGGCACGCGGCGGAATGTTCACGGGGCACGCTCAGCCGGTGAAAACCGTGGGCTCCTTTTATTCGCCTAGATTTCTCGCCTCGTTGTACTTTGATAGAGGCGAAATTTCGCGATAACACGTAGAGCACGTAACACCCTTGCTCATCGGTGGTAATCTCGACAGCGGAGAGGCAAGTTCGAAACTGTAAGATGTGTCCGTGGCTAACCTACGAAGAAGATTCGACCTAGGTTGGCCCATCGGCGTAACACCTCTCGAGGATATTTAATTTTCCCCTACGGAGCTGGTTCTGCGAGATATAAAAGGCGCGAAATGATAACTGGCTCCTCTCTCTCTCTCTCTCCTCCTTTCTCTTGTGGAAAAGACTCGCGCGACGATAAAGGATGGTCGTGCTTGAAATTTATACTTAAAGGAATCCTTTCCTTTCCTTTTTCCTTTCCCTCCTCTCGACGTTCAAGCTCGTTACAGCAGCCGCTCGAATTCGTAGAATAAATTCGTCGAGCATCTCTGGCGTGAAACGCGTGGCCTCGATTCGTATCAAAATAACGCGAATTCCCCGGCAAGAGGAACTTCCTGGGTGGGAAAACAAAATTCCACACCTCGAATTCGATTCCCGCGGGAGAACGGATTATTCTCCTGTGAATCGGACGGGAATTATTCGAAACGACCCACTTGAATAACACAGACGACGAATTTCGATTTTTAGAATTTGATTGCCTGAATTTAAATGGCTCAATTTTATTCGGAATATTCGGAATTTACGAAGGGAATATTTTCAAGAAGTCGTAATACGATCGTTACGATGGTACTCTTTTTTGTTCTCAATGATCTGTACTCTTCTAAGAATAATTCTGGAATACTTCTCCGTGACAAACTTCCAGCGAGAATGTGACGTTCAATTAAATCGCGAGGCTCGTGAAACGGAACTAGCGTCGAAAATTTCTCTCTCCGAAGAGAAAGAGAGAGATTCGAAATGTTTCGACGTTTTCCTTCCTGGTTGAAGGATTGCATTTCCTCTTCCCTGTCTGCTTCTCGAGCCTTCCTCTTCAACTCTACCGTGCGTCTCCCTTCCGATTCCATTCAACGGGTCCCTGTGAGTCGCGGAAGGATGCAGTCGAGAATAATTAACGAGGGTGAGAAGATCTTCTTGCCGGGGAACATACGTTTAACGAGCCCCATTGCCAGAGCCATAAACGCGCGACAACAGGAAAAGGGTTCCATCGCGAGGGGTGACTTTCGGCGCGGAAACAGCCGTCGCGGACGGCACGTACTTGTGTAATTGTTGAACGAGTACAGCGGCGACGTTTAACGATCACCCTGAAACCCCTCGATAAGCGGATAGAAACGGGCAAATTTTGCCGACATTTTTCATAGAGATATCGGTAGCCACGTTTTATTCAATTTTATCGAACTTCTCTCCGTCGATTCATTGCGGTCGTTAACTCGACCAATTATTTCCATGGTAAAACGTTCAAATATGCCACGATAAGATCTCCCGAATTTCTACCACCGTTCGTTATACATATACTTGTACGTGATTCTCCGTGATCAATGGATCTTTTCGAACATGCAGGATATTTTTTCGAGTTAGCGTATTTATTGGAAGATTCGAACTGGGCCATTGTGATCAATGGATCTTTTGAAATATGGTGAATATTTCTTTGCTTTCTTTTTTTTTTTTTTTTTTTTTAGAATACTGTCAGTGTGTGTTTATTGGAAAATTCAGGGCTTGGAAAAACTGGGTCGTGGTGTTGGATTTTACGAAAAGTGATTGATGTAAGCACACACGAACTTCCGAGGGTAACTTAATATTAACAAATACACCACAGTGCTCTATTATATTCAGCGTTTCGTTTACGATTTGATGTATAATGACGTGTGCGGCCGCGATAATGGTGTTAATGCAGGGCCACGTCGAAAATTTGATACGGCATACGTGGTGATTCGATTATTGGATCAATGGAAATGTTATTATTCGACTGTTAACAGATTTAACAGATGTATATTCGTATGAAACGTTACGTTTCACGTAGTCAGTTCCACCGATACCCTTGTAACGTTGCACCCACTCTGTTGCGTACGTTGATCCGATATAATCGTCGTTCCGTTGATCGATCCGTTTGACAAATTTTCACCGAGAAATTCCGACGATAAAACTTAGCCAATTAAAATAATCGAACCAAATCTGGAGACAAATTACCGTCGCTTAGCGAAACGAGGTCGATCAAGTCGGATCGGTGTTGCTACAAATCTTTTCGTTTCACGTGAAAGAGGAAGTTTCCTCCATGACCCATGAGAATCCCTTCTACCTCTCCTCCTCCGCCGATCCTCTTTAAACGTCGACGAGGAACGATGTGTTAGAGATGAACAGAGTCGGCGATCCCAGAATTTTCGTTGAAATTCCAACGTTGTTCGACCAACGGACGCCATTTTGGTTTCAGGTATCCTGGATACGTCAAAGGGATTTACACATACTCACGTCGTCCATCTTCCCATACACGGGAGACGAAAGATTCTCGGTGAAGCACCCGGAAGCATCCAACGAATGGACGTTGAAGATCGAGTACGTTCAGCAACGTGACACCGGGGTTTACGAATGCCAGGTTAACACCGAACCCAAAATGAATTTAGCCTACGCGTTGAGAGTTGAAGGTAATGCTACCAGTCGTGCTATCGTTATCCTACCGATTAATCCTTTCACGAGACTCTCTGTACACTCGAAGAGAAATTGAAGCTGTATCGAGCTTCGCTTTTCTTTGCCCCACTGTCTCACCGAGAGAAGCTTGAAATATTTTAGAAAATTGAACGTTAATTGAGAAAAAAGTAGATACGTGAAAGGATGAATCGTTTCATCAATAGAAAATCACACTTGTATCGCTGTAAATACCCTGCGTAATGGAGAATAGGTGAAACAGGAATGACACATTTCCGGTACCTTGACTAAGCACCAGCATGAGAAAAAGGACTGAAAGCTTTCCCGCTTGCATGCCTGCCACCGTGAAATCGTAAACATCTTCGAGAGGTTCGGACACCCCCTATCGTTTCTTCTTCTCTCATCATTTTTCTCGACCACCATCATCCGCCCCTTTCACCGCGTGGAAACGGCTTTTCACGTACGATACCGTTCGATTTCGTCTCCTGGTACTTCTGTTGCGCAATTAATTCGCCTAATTGATGGCCCTGTCAACGTCGAGCGCACGTTGCAACCGCGCGCCACCGCGACAACACTTCGGGTTACAAACAGTGGTTGACGTTACAGCGTCAATTAAAAGTCCTCGTGAATTATCGAGGATCGTGCTGTGTTCGCGTATTAAGCATGATCAAGTCGCCGTCAAGGGATCAATGGAGCATTAGCGAACAATGGTAACACGCGTCGCGTTACACGGCTTATTCGTTCGCGCATTTCCCTCGCGTCAACTTTCATCGTTCGTTCAATGGGAACGTTTACGCTGTAATTTCACGCTAATTGCAACGATACAAGGTACACATCTCGGTTTGTTGCGCCATTCTTTTCTATTCCCGCGTTCACGTCGTGTAACCCGTTAACGAGCGTTTATTATTTAACGCTCGAAATGTTTGTCGATATCAATGATTACGCTCTGTCGCGATTAATCCGGCGATTCGTTGTTTCGATAATTTAATAACTAATCTCGCTGATTACACACGACTACGTGCTCGCGGTATTTTTCAAGGAATTTTTTTAGAGGTCTAGGTTTGTCCAGCCTGATTGAATAATTATGTATACGATGCACTCGTGTAATTAGCCGGCTCCTTTGAGCACCGTCACGTAAACTGTTTCCGCGATTCACGAGATTCCGTAGGGCTCGCGTGCACGAACACCGCTGTTCATTAATTATGTTCGTAGCCTCTGCGTGTACCTGTCCCTATCACGAGCCGCGCGTAATAGTAATTGCTCGTCAGGTGGCTGGAATCGATATTCTTCCAAAGATTCGATTAATTTATACCCCGAGAATTCGATACGAAACTTATTCCAGTCAACCTGCTGATTGAAAACACTCAACTATCAGCTCCTGTAAATCAACTCAATTCCTTACTAATTACCCTGAAATTAGTCAGACCGTCTCTGCTATCGTCTACGTATATCCCTGTGAAATTAGGAACCAATGGAGCAAGATGAATTCTCGCGGTGTAACGCAAGATAAATGTGCCCGCTCCCTACAAGTGTCGCGAAGCTGTCGTTATCGCGATGAAAGAAAGGAGCGTAGGCAAGAAAAGGGGGCCACGAACACCATGAATGAACAGCGGTGCACGCTGCATACGTACACGTATACATACATATCCAAAGGGAGAACAGTGCAGCACGTAACCTACATCACGATGCTTTCGGTGGCAGTTCTATCCCCCCCGGACCACCCACGAAACAGTAGATCTCTCGACGAAATCGATTAACTCGATATCTTTTCTGTCCTCCCATTCCAGAACGTGCCCCTGTCCCCGCCACCACCATCACACCGAACGCCATTCACCGGACGTTCAACTCAGGTTAGAGAATCACGCAAGAACAGAGAACTCCTTTTCCAAGCTGTTGAACTTGCCTCTATATAGACGTTTTATTGCGACCGAGTGTGTAGATCACCGATGTGCCTCTCTCTCTTGCTCTCTCTTCCTCTTTATCACTCTGTCTTTCTGTGTTTAGCTATAGAGCATGTCTGTGTGCAGGCTCGTGCCCTATCAGTGCATGCACGTCCCATCCGTTTAACGTTAATTAATTCAACCCCGTAACAGGACGGTTTTGTTTTACGAGAGAGGAGGAGGAGGAGGAGGAGGAGAGCCGGTCGAGAGCTGACTTTAGCGTAGCGGAGATCCGTTTCGCTGATCGTCGCACGCTGTGACCCGGAATCAGCTGCCACACGCTGCGACACGGGTTTTCTAATTGCCGATGAATTATGATACGCGCGATAATTGAGCCTGAAGGGCTTGCCTTCCGATGTGACACGCGGAGTACGTCGCGTGTGCTCGACTGGTTCTCCTCTCTCTCTCTCTCTCTCTGCTGAATGTTCGAAATTCCACTTCGTTGTCTCCTCTGTTGCTCTGATATTCCGTTATTTACCGCGCTGCTTAATCACTTGGAACCGCATTTTTTCTCTCTCGCTGAGATATATATGTATGTATATGCGTGACGAAGGTGGAATGATCGTGTATTTGAACTTTTAACATACAGCAATAGAATAGACGTAATGTTTAAGGGGAAGAAGATGAAGAAATGGTACCGTGACGTTTGGCACGGCTGTGATTCTCTGTCAGTCGTGATAACATTTTTCCTCTGACTCGTAACAGACTGATTCTACTTTCCCGCGAAATGGAAATATTCACGGGAACAACGTATGTTTGGAGAAACCTTCGCGGTTCTTCCTTTCTGTTTTCGACCACCTGAACTTCCCAAGTTCCATTAAAAGTTGCGCGGGATTCGTTTCGTATGTTAGTCACGAGCACGACCACCGCCGGCCGGAATTGGCGAATACACGCCTCCCGGCGTTTGCATAGGGTATTACACACGCGGAATTTGAGTTGGCTCACTACAATTTCCTGATATCGGATCTTGTGATTCACCCTACCAATATTAAGTTACAATTCCCCCGGTAATTGTGCACAATTCCCGGAATGTTTTGTTGCTAATTTCACAGAAGATCCTGCGAAACCGAAGAACACGAGTGTCGAACGATATTTGGAACACGATATGTAATACGTAACTTGCTGTCCATAATTCCGTTATTCGCCGAAACTTACAGCGATATTCTCGAGAATAAAATTAATATTCGATCCTCCATTTTGAGAGAAAAATTCACACACACGAGACAGACGAGATCTGCACCAAACATTGCACGATAAATTTTTAAACGCGCAGTCGTCCTCTGTTTCGGCTTCGATGTCGCTTCGAGGCACGCTTAAAGGGATGCTGCAAGATTCACGAGACAGTTTTCCACGCAACGTTTTCCCCGTGAAAATTGAGAAAAGAAAGGGAGCAAACGAATAAACGAAATTTAAGCAGGTCACCAAGGGCAGAATGTTTAAGCGGCCGATTTTCTATGCGTGTTGCAGCCGCTCAGGCGAGAATCCTGGGTCCGGAAGACGTCTACGTGAAGAAGGGCAGCACGATAAGCCTCACGTGCACCGTTAATGTGCAAAGTACACCGCCCAGCAGCGTTTTGTGGCATCACGGCGTAGCTGTGGTGGATTTCGACAGTCCCAGGTACAAGCCACGAGAATCAAGTTCTCGAGTTCTCTCTCCGTTAAACGCCCTTCTCAACTCTCCACTTCCTCCGTGCACTCTTCTATCTATTTTCGCGCGCGACACCGAGACACGGGCAAAGAAATAAAAGCAACTCTCTCTCGCGCTTCCGTTCGATTGCCTGCGTTACGATTATTACATCCTGTAGAGGATGCACCGAGCACTTTCGTCCTTTCGACGATAGTCGTTGAAAATTTCTACCACTTGCAAATAGCTCGGCTAACAGATTTTCCGATCTGTCGATACCGTTCGAAGGGAAATACGCGTTCAACTTCTGTTTCAACGACTTTCTTCCCAAATTCTCAATGGTCTAGAAAATACGTACACAGTGTTGTATATGTATAAGAGAGTGTACTTTCTGCAAATGTTAGGTTGTTGCAGATGAATCGATTGTAATTTTAATACAACGCTTTTCACTTCAGTTTGGTTAATAAACTTCTTGACGGCTGAAAATTGGTCAATTTCTAGATATGAGGAAGTCCTCGAACCAAAAAATGGTCACTTTCGTACGCAATCTGCCGTCTAATAAAATCACCGATTGTGCTCCCTCTAGCTAACTTCAATCTTCCAGGTAGCACATGAAAAAAAATATTCCAAAAATTGTATAAATCAGCTGTTTCATACGTAACAACCTAATAGACCTAATAGAACAACGCCGGTAAGGCAAACACGGTCGTTAGAAAGGACGAAAGACGATAACGCGACATCCGTGTCTCGGTGCATCCCGACGTTCTCGCGTAACGTACACTTGGTCACGTTACGCGACTCGTCACGCCTTTAGAAACTAACCAACAAACGTAATGCAAAGTGTGCTCTGGTGAATAGCAGCAAAGTATCTTTGATAATTCAGCGTTCACCGCAGGGGCGGGGTCTCCTTGGAGACGGAGAAGACGGAGAGCGGCACGACGAGCAGACTTCTGGTGACACAGGCCAGATTGACCGACAGCGGAAATTACACCTGCATTCCCAGCAACGCGAATCCAGCCAGCGTAATGGTCCACGTGCTGAATGGTAAGAGCCCTTTTTATTCCCCATTCGAGAACCCTCTTTATTTCTCTCCTCCTCGACCGGTGACGTCCGCCGTCACGGCTTAACTTAATTTCTTCGGGAGTCGAGCGACGATCAGTCTTGCGCCCAGGCGTAGCTGCGCCGTGACACACAAGTTTCTTAATATTGATCCACACTCTTCTTGTAACACCGCTTATCCTGGCTGAAAGAACCTCGTGACGATTGTTCTTCCCTTTCTCTTCTTTTTTTTTTTTCTTCTTTTCTTTCTCTCTTTGTTTGAACGGGTACACTGTACGGTTTGTTAACCCTTTCACGGTTTGATGACTCTGGCAAGTGGTCATTGTGAGAGAAGAGACTACTTGGAGACCTCATCGTTTATTATTGCATAGAAAGTTTTCTGTGGATTCCTTCCTTTTTTTTCTTCTTCGTTATTTTATCGCAGCACGACGAGTACGTCTTTGACTGGATTCCAGAACGAATTGTCAAGGGGTTAACATATTGGGGTTACGAGTTCATCGAGGTCGCCAGCTCGGTAAAATACACTAGAATTTATTAACAGCCCGTCGAAGCTTCCGGATTAATAATCACGGTTATTACAAGGTATTTCGAATTGTTTCCATTAATTATCATTAAGCTGATTAACGTAGGTTCGGTGAAACGTGAATAATTTTGGTATATCGCGCAGAAGGGAGGGATAAAAACGAACATCCATGAATATCTAACTACGGGACCGAGGCTTTTCTCTCCCTCACTTTTCATTTATTGGTTCGCGTTTTATCCGGATCCACGGAAATTTGATGCCCCTCGATTTATTTTTATATTTCACCATCGAGATATACGCGAATCGCTCAGTATGGCTACGTCATGCACACGCCTTTCCATAAACGTCGCGAGCAAACGTATTTCAGAGGAGGAACCGCGCGGAAAAATCAGCGACGGGTCTTCCGTGTCGGCTAAATCGCGGACACCCTAATGCTCCCCGTAATTTCGTCTGTCTGTCGCGTTTCGTGACACATTATTTGCTTTCGAGAAAGCTTTTTCACGACGAAAAGAGAATAATTAAAAGGAACCTGCAACGTTTACAGTCTCACAGTCGAATTATTTGAAAATACTTGAAAAGACACACCTTCGTTCCTCGGAATCAGACGAATTTGATAGATCTTAAACGGAGAGATACACGGTGCCTTTTAACATTCGCCGCGAATAAAACGTTCGACGAGTAGAATCGATAAACGAGCACTCGATCGTGATGTCAGGGGTTGGCAGGAACTTGAAAGAACGAACTCGGTATAAATTTTATTCGGCCGGAACTGTGTGTAGCGTAACGGGACAGGCACGTCTGACACCTCGAAAATCATGAAACATACCCTACGACCATTTCGGACGTCGAAGACGTGTCGTCCTGTCCTTTACATCCACGATTGTTCGACAAATTCCCCGACAATGGCTGTCGTCGTATCGCGTGGATGCAACTTGAATGGCGCGTGGAGAGAAGCTCCTGAAGTGCGAGGCGGGCAAAAGGGACGGGCGCGCGCGGCGTGTTCATTCATCAAGCATCGAAATCCCTCGTCGTAAAGTTTGACAGGCTCGTATATTGGGGCTGCGGCAACCACTCGCCCTCTCCTTCTCCACCCTTCCTCACGCGTACACTTTGCTTTTGATCTATTGTCAGCCGACAACACTCGGCGATAACACATGCAATATCTTGCGCGGCAAGTTCACCAATCCAGTCTGTCAATCATCAGCAAACCACGCATTCGTGTAGAAAGTCCCGAGCTGGAAGCACGTCACGCCGCGTAGACTTGACGACTTACTCGCCTCTCTCTTCGTATTCTCGCACACCCCCTACTGTTGTACCACGTAACTCGTTGCTGTGGTCGCGGTTCTAGATTGGCAGGGCGTTCATCGCGAAATTGCACCGAAAGCTGGGCGTGCGGGGAGTAATTGGCGATGGGAGGAAAGTCGAATCGATAGTTAGACTCGATTTTATTGCACGAAAATTTCAGTGGTTTCCGCCGGTGGCGAGATACCGTGGAAATATCCGGGAGAAGTGGGAAATTTGTCATGTATAATTTTTTGAAATTTTTAACAAATCTTTAGAATTCTTTCGACGTTTCTAAAAATCTCATTATGCTGATCCGCCGGACAAAGATCAGCGCGCAGAGGCGCGATTCCATTAGCGGATTTCAGTGGGGCATACTTTCGGTAGCGATTCTCCGGCATGTACGATACCAGAGGAAACAATTGAGCGGGCATGTGTTTGAACGGTGTTCCAGGAACCCTGTGTGTCGCAGTTAGAGTAGCGAAGAGCATGTAGAGGCGTTGGGTGGTAAAACGATTGGGGCTAGTGAGCAAAACGTGGTATACCGGGATGCCGGATGAAAATTAATGCAGCACAGTTCGTCTGCATAATTAATTTACAATCGGCCTGGCACCGTGGGATAGTGAAGGAGAGGGGGGCGGCATCGAACGTTATTTCAAACACAGCTGATTACTCGGCAAAATTGACCGCAAATTTCAATTATTTCGCGATAAACCTGGCATGGTCGCGCGCGGATTATGCGTAGCGGAGCGCACTATCCGCGCATTAACGCAATTACACGGCTACGGGCGCGCGCGAGGGATCGACGACGGACGGCGTCGTTTTTCGAACGACGAGCGGGCGTCGTTTTGGATTCCTGTTTAGTCGCGTGTCGCGTACACGCGCAAACCAACACCGGACACCTGGAATATAGGCCTGGCGCGCGGAATAGAGATTTCCGATTCGCTCGTAAATTCACGGTGTCTACGGGGGAACACGCGAGAAACCCCCTCCTCTCACTGTGTGTGCACACGCTCGTGATTATCTTTATTACCGGCGCGGATGTTGCGTACACCGTAGCCGATACACCGTTAACATTTGTCTGGATATATGAAATGTATGTATGGAAATCGGCGAGGTAACCTGGCCCCAGCTGGATAGTTGGTGATTAACGCCGCCTCGCTGCTCCTGCTGGCCTCTGCTTTAGGATGCTCCGACGGCTGCCTACGTCTGGCGTTGTTGCGATAGTTATTCGTTACGGCGGGGAATATTGGAATGGTAGCTCATGTGGATATACTGGGTCGTTTCAGGGGGGAACTTGGCTTTCGTAACAATTGACCGTTTCGACGGGTAGATGCTCTCATCTTTCACGCGTGCGTTCTGCGGTTTTCAATGACGTGTCTGTCCACTGCGTCAATTGTGGTAATTATTATTACTGCCGATATGGCGACGGTAGAGGAATTGTTCGAATAAATCGCCGGATACCACGCTTCAGAAGTTGAGATAATTACGGTACAACGAGGAAACGTTGTTTTTTCAATCAATCTTTTCATATTTGAAACGTTGTGGCTTGTAATCCCCGGTGAGGTTAAAGGGTATTTAACTTGTGAAATGACCCAATACAGTTAGGAATAAATGAGAACTGTGGACGGTGGAAAGTGGAGCAAAGGTTTCTTTTGTTACAGGTGAACATCCAGCGGCCATGCAACACGGCGGAAGCTGTGGCGTCGCGCCCACTATTTTACTGGCGACCTTCACTCTGGTGGTCTCGAATCTGCTAAGGTGAGCAGTCTCCTGGTGAATCGTACAACTTCGAGGAACCCGTTGAATTTGCTCGAGCTCCTTTCGTTAGCCAGAGGGTCACAGGTATCACGTGCACACACACACATACGAGGAGTGCAGAAGGAAAATCGTCTAAAGGTAAAACGCGAACGATTTAGAGATCGCGGTGGAAGTCACGGTGGCGATAGGAAGAAACGTCCCCCGGTATTCGGATCCGGGGGAATTTCTGCAACGTGAATTGCTGTGTACCGTGAAATTGTCAGGGACTTTTCACGTTTTCGAGAGAAAGGAACGGTAGAGCTGAATGGACAAAGTACAGTGGATTCTGGCCTGTGTGATGGACGCAGTGACGTGGAAGCGGAGCTCGACTTTGCACACGTACGTTTTTACCGCCAAATCTATCACAGATAAACTATTCCTACGTCTATCTCTCTGGCAATTTTCGATCGACCATGTGCGATGTCCGTTTCAAAAATGTGTGTGTGTGTGTGTGTGTGTGAACGATTCGTTTGATGATTCCTGTGCACTCTGAGTATCGTGGATGCTGAAATATCTGCAGAAAATCCAAT